TCAAGAAAAGACTTGACTCCAAGAGCGTCTCTTACCAGGCAGTTTTGACGCACATGGTCAGTGGCAGTGAAGTCGATAAGCCGCCTAAATAAAGAAAATATCTAGATCGGGAACCGCGCAAGGTTGACCCAACTAAGGTTTCTTCGGGCGTTAACGTTAATGGGCAAGGCCTGGCAAGGCGGTCCAAAAACAAAGTTTATGAAATATGCATGGCGGGGCAGAGGATGTTATAAAAGCAGGCTTCTAGCTCCACCTAGACTCACTACTGCGCGATTGTAGATATGCAGCTCTGCCACGGCGCACAAAGCTACCAGCGTCCCACGAAGCAAAGCAAAATTGTATCGCAGAGGCAATATCGAGTCAAAGAGGGGGGCGGGTTCCAGGAACTCCGGGAAGTGATTCACTCGGTGACAGGGGAAATTCCCCAGACCAGGTGCGAAACCCTGAAGAAAGGTATGCTTGTTCTGAAATACATTTTGCTTGCGTGATCACTTATCCCCTTCACAGCTGCGGAATTACTGCGGCAGTTGTCGAGCAAATATGAGGCAATTTCCAAGTATGAGCCACCCCCATCCTTGGAATTCTCGTCAGCATCACCCTATGAAACTGACGAGGGGTCTCACACGTCTTATGGTACGCATCTTTTGGTCGTCGGCGACGAGTTCTCATAGACACTCCTAGAATCTCTTGTAATGCCCAACGAGGCATGGACAAGTACTATTGCACCATGGACAAGGAACAGCAGCCCAGTGTCAGACACATCGGCGACGAGCTCGATGCTAGAGTATCAAGGCCATCCTCAGGCAGAGATCCACCATGTCGTCGGTGGTGGGGACGACTGGAATTTGGTTCAACCAACCCCTTCGCAATTTCGACAGACCTCTTTCTCCGCGCAGTGGTCGCTCATTCACTCGAACGTTGATCAAGTCCCATACTATAAAGAGTGGGAGTAAATTAGATTACACCTCGGAATTCGAGGAATTCCTGAATATTCATTTGTAGCGTATTAGTCTTGCGGATTCACATACCTTGTAGCCTTAATTAGTCGTACTATTTTGCGTATTTATTGAACTTATGTACCATTGGAATATACCCAACGAGAGGGCGAATGAGAGAAGCACAACCGTTTGATATCCTGGCTGTTCCATGACAAGACATGCTGCTATATCGTATCAGTCACAATATCCGGATGGAACACAAGTGATTCGACTTGTGACAGCAGTCCAAGTGTGTCAGGGATCTTGACCATATCATTTATAAGGCATATAGGATGCGCAAAGCGTTTCCTTAGCGGCAGAAAAAGTTCGCAGTTGCGACAATAACCACACACTGTTGGGTCAAGGTGTACTTCGAGTACACATGCACTACTTACGATATGTGAGAGTTTGTATGTGCGTCCTTACCGGAGGATCAGTAAAAATGACATGAGGCAGTTAGTTTACTCTGATTCGCAAAGAACGGAATGAAATCACTGCTGCAACAATCATCTTTCCAGAATTCATCCCGAGAAGTGCGAAATATAAGCGCGCAGTTGTTGTTGCAAACTTAACATACACATAGCGCTAAATGGTCATGATCGATTTGTAATTGATTTCATTTGGATGATAGAACGAGCCCGCAAAATGAAGGGAAAAGATGGCAAAATGGGACACCTCTGTATCCGAAATTAGGGTAACGCAAGAAGAATGCACGATAAACCACAGGTTGTGCTGAGGTGAGCGGCATCGATACTAATTGCCGTCAACCCACAGCAAGAATCATTTCGTGGCTTAGCCAACTTAAAGTCCTGGGAGATAAGTCGACCACACGAAGAGTGGCGGAGATGGTTCGATCAGCAACCAATCACATTGAAGAGCATGGGATGTAACCTTACAATCCTATCATGATGATAGTGTAATACTGGGAACATGTAACAGACGCCTGCGATGCCTTGACGGCAGGGAACGGGCGACTGGTGATCAAACCTGCGATGATGAGTGGCGCCACTACTCGAATATTTACCATTGAAGGACTTACCAACACACGAAAAACACTCCATTTGGCTTTTGCATAGGAAACCATAAACATGTTTGCTTGCGTTCCTTCGAGAGGTCGGACAGCCGTACCCATTTGCAGCAGGCCGATCAAGCACTTTAATCCATAATCAAAAACATCCAAGCGCGTGCCGGTGTGGTGTGACAATTTTGATTTTCAACAGTCAGAGTGTGGCGTAGCAGTGGAAAGGACCATTGGCACACTATGATCCGAAATCAAGGGCGCGCTTGGAGAACCAGTACGAAAAAGTTAAAAGCACGATGCAGCGCATTCACGACGCTTGAGTGTGATCGGTAAATTCACTTATGTAAATGAAGTATGATAGGCGCTAGAATCAAGCCACCGTGCATCCAACGAGCAGACAATACTTAATGAGTGAGTTGTTGTTCCCATAAACTCACAGGCGAGCGCCAATCGCCGAGTGAGAAACAGAATTCAACGTACATATGCGGGATAGTGAATTAAAAACTCGGCTCTGCAACTAGGTTAAGTATAGCAACATCGACCCACTGGAGATTTGGACTTGCATTGTGCGGGTGACTATTACTTGCCTTGGCACCACAACTTCGATTTACAGCCTGCAAGTCACAATCAGAGTGAATGCACCTTACGGAACAATCTCGTCGCTTGCGGGTGTGAAAATTTTGGCAATGATGCAAGCAGCGCTTGCACTCTGTCTCAAACGTATGTTGACTTCAAGTTGAAGTCACTGTATAGAAGAGATGGTGCCACCGCACCTACCCCTGCTCGATGATGCCTTTTGATCTACAGTGATAATGTTCACTCTACTGAGGGTTTCAAGGTTTCATGGTTACTTACCCACAATCATGGCATCGACAGCAATAAAAATTTGTTCAGTTATCATGCAGGAACGTAAGAGTCCGTTGTGACGCCAAGGAAGGACTCGCGTGTTCCCAGTACTTGGCCTCCAGTTGGAACCAGCACCCGCGATACTCCTCCACTACTAAGAAACTATTGCGCTTGGATCCTGGTACAAACATATTTCTGTCATCATGAGGTGTCGCATACAGTGACTAAGAGACGTCCTGGGAGGGCCGTCATCTTCGTCCCGGAGATATCACACTTTACAAACCTTGGTTTCATGGAAATTTCGATCGCTAGCTCGCACAGGCACAGTATGATTGAAGAACGTTCCAGTCGCCAAACAGGGTATCTGGAAACTCTGTACGACTTGGCTTGCAATATTAGCTTTGACGATGCATCAGCTCACACGCTCATAAGTGTCTCTTTACCTTTGTATTTGTTCGGACAGAACGTGCCCTCGATGTTACACGTGCGCAATTGCTAGGCTGTGTAGAAAACACCATTGCATTCGTGTTCCCCGGAGCCTGAGGTCTGAGATCTGATTATGAGGATCAAAAAGCAGGGGATGTGAAAATTGCCAGCTAACTGAAGTCCGAACTAGCTAGACCTGTATTTGAATTATTTCGAATTCAATTGTCAATAATGTTACGTAATAAAACTTAGTTATACTTGAGCTCGCTAAGTGGCGCATCAGGGAAAGGTAATTCACCAGTGCTACAGCGTGCTCTGTAGCACAATCCAACCGGCTGATAGCCCAATGACTGGTGACTGCTCGGACTCAAAGTGCACGTACACGACGACTTCAGCATATCTAATACAACAGCAGGCGACATCGCGAAGCTCGCGGCCCCTTAGCTCAAAGCGTTATGCAGCAAATACTCAACGCACCATAATAGTACCACTACGTCGTGAATCTATACCTCCTTCCATCAGTCTAACTTGTTTGTTTTCTCCCACTGAACCAGGAATAGCCCATAGCATCGGGAGCAGAGGTGTCGGAAGGTTGAAAGTTAGGAGAGGAGGAGAAACAGCTATGGGGAAGATGTGCAACACACGGCATATCACGTACGTGACGAAAGGCTTGTTTTGCGTCTATGTAGATCAAGTTGTTTTTTGTCGAAATTGTGCGACAAATCAGAAGTGGAGATGGGCAGTGCCCACGCGGTATGACGGAGGTACCACGGTGGTCCGACAGTGCATCATGATTTTTAGGACGCTCCCAAAAATGGTAGCAGAAGATGTCATAAGTGGGAGTTCCACCTTACCTGCCCCACCAGCGCTACTGGAACGTCATGGGACGTACGCCAATTCCGGTTCTACTGCTTCACCAAGTTAACTTGCTTCTTCAGGATCTCCAGGATTGAGACGTGTGCTACGAGCGCTTACTACTAGGGCCTGCCGCTTTATCTCGAGACCTTGATTTCTAGCTCCAGAAGACGAGTGTTACAGCAAGCGTATAGTTCCGAAGCTTGTATGGCATGAAGGGCCTTGGAGGTGTGCGGTTCGAAAGTTTTAGGTAGCTGCGACGACGATACGACATGTATTCGGACATCCACACTATCTACGCAGGAGGGGCCATCAGATAACCTCAGGCTTCAGAGGCGTGCAGTCCAGAAGTTTTTGGGGCGCGTCGTGTCCCCGACACCACTTTAGTGGAAGAGGGTTTGTTTCCCTGCAAATGGACCCGTGAGAAACGTGCGCTGGCTTAGTCAGTGGGAAAGTGTGGCGCTAGCCTTTTCTTTCTCAACGTTGCGGTTTGTGTCTTTGATCTCATTGATTTGCCGAAAATCCGTTGGTCTACTCTTCCACTTACAGATTTACTTCAGAAGCTTCATAAGCTGACCATCGAAGTGTTTGGTTGAAGAGGAAACAGGTGAATTTCAGAAGCATCCAGCAGAGCTTTTGGTTGATGTCGACTATCTTGTCTTAGTCTCTTCATGTGGTGTCGGCGACTGGCGCAGCCGAGCGCCGCTACGATATGATACCGGCCATAAGCTAGCTCCGTTTCTGACCGTTTTTCAGGCTCCCAAAGAAAGAAGGTGACCCCTGGTGGGCACCTCTTTCTGGGAAGCCAACCCCTCGCAATAAGCAGTTCTGCTGTGCACACAGCTAGTCCAGAAGTGTCTCTAGTCATCTTATTAAAACTTCATCGGTGCTTAACTGAGTAAGTCAGAACCAAAGCAACGGTCGGTACATGGTCACCCGGCGCCTATCGTGATTCGTGACACTCGCAGTCTAATGCATGCAGGTTTTTTGTGCGAATTTATGTTGTCAGTACTGACATGGGTCATAGATCTTGCAGTACAGTATGCAGGTCAATCTGATCGCACCCTAGTCTAACTGGACGTCCATTTTTTGCACTCAAATATCTAGACAGGCAATACACTCTGCCGTATGTGATCCTTTGATGTGCCGTAATTTGGAAGTCATACCGGGCGTTCACCGTTATCATGACAGCATCCCACATCCCGAACAGGTGACAAGTCTTTGCAACTGTGCTGCGCTCTGCCATATGTGATCTCCTGCTGTGCTGCAGTACCAGGCGTGCACCCTTATCATGTTATCATCCACATCCTAAACAGGCGACAAGTCTTTATAACTGCACTGCTCTTTAAATTCAAATAGCGCCTGCAGGAGGTTTACGCCGAAGATAGCTTTCGTCAAGTAATGCAGGACATCCCAACGTATATAATCCTTCCTCACCACAATGCCTTGAGCATCCCCAGTCCTCCATACACCACCACCTTCTCCCATGTTTTCTACAGCTTGTCCCCCATCGCAGCGCCTGTATGTTTCCCCTAAGCCCGCCATCTCCCCTTCACCCTTGCACAATGCTCGCTACGAAGGATGGGTCCGCCCCGCCGATACCACTTCCCCGTGTTGCTTTTGCTATTGATACCCCCCTCGCGCCATCCTTATAAGGTTACAACCACCAATAGCCGTAGTTGCAATTCTAAATTTATTCAGACTACCATGTTCACTTGTTACTAGAACCTCATCCCTATGCAAGTCACCCCCGCACAAATTTTTGGGCACAAGGTGATTTCCTTTTCTATGGTTCTATTTTCATTGAAGCTTAATTCGCTTCTTACATCTGCTGATATAATGGATCACGTTGACTCTCAACGCCGCGATGTCCCTCATTCACGGCCATGGAAACGGTGAGTTCTGTCGCCATCTATTCAAATCATTATACGACCTAATGTGGCACCTATGCTCTGTCCTCTCCAAGACGCTTCTGAGATGCGCACCAGAACTCAACATAATACAGAGAATGCATGGCTCATATGTACGCGTCTACCTTCGTTCTATTAACTTGCAAGGTGTTCAATCGTACGGTTTCCTAGATGACCATTCCACACGACGAACAATGCCATCAAACATCAACGGCACCCAAAAGGGTACGGCTTAGACGCACTTATGTTGTGGACTGATTCTCATACATCCCACCAGCCCGCCCCCATCCGTTTTTTGCGCCACTACTCGTATCATTGATATACGACCTGCGCTATCCACCCACCACTCTCCGTTTTCCATCATCATCTCCATTTGCGGGCTGCGGGTACGAGCTCCTCCGCGTCCCACTTACGCCAGAAAGGCCTAGGCAGATACGGCTTATCAGCCCAAATTTTCCTTGGGCGTTTGACATCGGCCCAACTGCCGGAGAAGAGGTTGTGACGTGTCTTGACGTTCTCTCTACTCTGCACGCTGAATTGCAGCGCCCACTTACAGACATGGAGTGGGGCACTGCTGGAGACGAAAAACGCGCGAGTCTTATCAGAGCATGCGACCGTCGCCTATGTATACAACTTGCGTTGCACGGGAGCTCAAAACGCACTAGACCACAGTGGGCTTTGAGAAGCCTGTGCAGCGAGAGCCGCTGCTGCTCCGTGTCGACTGGCTTGGATCTAGCGTTGCATTCATGGGACTTGTCAAGGATGAGGCTGTTGCGAGGAGGAGATTCGTTCCAGGCGGTGGGGATTACCCTGAGGTGTGGGTGGTGAAGTTCCAGAAATTATGACTCTGAAGGTCTGGAGAAAACGTACACATATCTTACTGTTGCCAGTGATGTCTATTGTGTGAATGCTACGGGGTGTGTGGCGCTGCTTGCGTTGGAATCGGGTGTTGAAGTCGTGCAAGTCAACAGCCGCTGGTAACGAGAGGAAGGAAGATCTTGCTGCGGACACCATGCGATGATAATGTAATGATAACAATGCTGGACACGTTGGATTGGCGCAGCCGCCTGACTGTCCGTGCACACAGGCGTCTAGATGATTCTCTGCCACCGTACAGTTATATGCTCGATCATTGCAACTTGACACCGCGCAGGTGCGACACTGTCATTTTCGCGATACGTTGCCTTGGTGTCATTTTGGTTGTGATGCATTTCAGAGCACGCACCACCGTGTCACATCTTTGCTCTCTGCCCGGCCTTCTTGGCTATCCGTCGTGCGTATAGCGTGCAACTCAGTGGCGAGACCTCCTCGCTCATTGGAGCAAAACTACAGATCATATCAGGGAGGTTTTCGATAGGGCCACACGGCGCTTGCTGTCTGACGACGCAGGACTGTAGCCACGAGAGTCAAACGGGTTATTATGTGGGTGCATCACCCCCACTGTGCACTCAGCGTTCAATATTTTCCTCCCACGTTACACATCCCTCACTGAATAGTTATGCGTATCTTTTGTCCGATAGTTTGCGAGCTTGGCATTCATGATGTGCTTGGTTTGTAGTTGAGTCATCATTGCTCTATCAAGGTACTTAGGTACCTGAGCTTATGTGAGCGTAGATGGCCAAATTATTCATATTAATCTCACTCCGCAGTCCGCCCTCTTCGAACACCCTCATGCAACGATTAAACATGCTGGTGCCGAGCTCGTTTCCGGCTCTTTATCTTTTGCACCTCCTGAGTATACCGGCGATCATCATTAATCTTCAGGACGATCCCTCTCGCCCCATGATGTTATCTATCCCTCGACTACATACAATGGAGACACGACATCGTTTATCGCATGCTCTAAGTATGGGAGTCACGCAAATTACTTCCGCGGAATTAAAACCCCTACATATGGTAAACGTCGATCACGCTTATTTCTGGATCACATTGCATACATATCAAATAACACAGTAGTATATTAATCACACCTTCACAGGAGGCAGCTCCCACTGATCTGGCCCAAACCGCGGTATAGACATCATCACGCCCGCATTGTTTCTCGAAGGTTTGGAAAACGTGCACATACTCTGTTTTCCAAGACTCGACAGCCATACAGGATTTATGACCGTTAGTCCTTCGTGTTTGTTAGCATCTATTATATTTGCAGCTGCGGCGGACAGACTTTGATC